GTAGAACCTTTGTCAGTGCAGCCATGTGGATGAGTCACGGCCATTGCTTGGCCAATGTGCTCTCTGTGAAAGCCTGAGAGAGTGTCTTCTCCTTAATGTATGATTTTAAGTAGAGTTCCCAAATAACTCCTTTGAAAATATACTCACTAGTGTTTCAAAAGAAAGTCATTTAAGAGCAGAACCAGGCATGATGGCGCACATCTGTAATCCTAGGTCTCGAAGTTGAGGCAGGAGGATTGCTGCAAGTTTGAGGCCAATCTGGGTTACATAGTTGATAGCGAATTCAAAGCCAGCCTGAACTACATAGTGAGACCCTGTCTCAAAAACAGGAAAAAAAAAGTACAGAACATTTCAGACTTATGAGTCTGTGGCCAGCTGATAGGTCATCAGCTGAGCTAGAATGGCCTTGTGTATGACAGCTGTCAGGCTTCCAGCTGAGATCCTGTTTCTTCCTAAAGCCCTTTGTCATCCTGCAGCACAGCTTGCTGTCATTTGCATAGTGGTCTCAGGGGTCCCTTTGCAGCAGGAGAGAGGCAGCCCTAATGCCCCGGTGTTCTGAAGGCTCTCCATCGCTGGCCCCATTTGTTTTTTTATTTTATTTTATTTATTTGTGTGTGTGTGTGTGTGTGTGTGTGTGTGTGTGTGGCCAGCTCAGCCCCCCAGGGGGTGGGGCTGGCTGGCATGTGGTGCTGGGGGATTGAACCGCGGTCCCTGTGCTTTGCTAAGCTTGTTCTAAGTAGGTGCTTTAGACCACTGAGCCATCTCACTAGCCCTGCCGGTCCCAAGTTGCTGTTCACACTTGTACTCAAGGATGGAGAAGGAGACCGAGCTTCTCATGGGAGGAGCCGCAGAGTTGCTTGCAAAAGGGTGGAAAGAATTTATGGGTGTGCACCTTCCCTACCACACTGTCCTGCTGTTTATCCTAAAACCATTTTAGTCTTTCTGACTTAGTTCTGATGGGTTTAAGCCCTCTCCACTTACAAACTGTAAATAGTACACTATAGCCTGAATAAAGTGAAAAATAAGGGCTGAGGAGATAGCCCAGGGGCATAAGTGCCTGCCTGGCAAGTGCATGGTCCTGAGCTCCATCCCTGGTACCAAAAATAAACAATAAAGTGAAAGAACAATGGCATGATGATCTCATCTCACCTTCCTAGATTTGTGCTCCTTTCTCTACTGTAAAATTGGACTAGTTTACACTCATCCACTTAGCCTTCGAGGTCTGTCTTAAGGACTTCACTTCCAGAAATCCGAGGTTTTTCATTATCCCTTTGCATTCATTTCTCTGCCAGAATGTGGAATTGAACTCAGGCCCTTGGGCTTGCCAGGGAAGCGCTTATTCCCCTGAGCCATCTCCCTGGCCCCTCTCTGCCTTTTAGTGAAATGATTCCTCCTTGGTTTTCTAGTAGCTGTTTGCAAACTTTCTTATAGTAGTAATTTCTTTTTTTCTTTCTCTCTCTCTCTCTCCTTCCTTCCTTCCTTCCCCCTCCCATTTTAGTCTTTCTGACTTAGTTCTGATGGGTTTAAGCCCCTCCTTCCTTTCTCCCCTCCCTCCTCCCCCCCCCCCTCCCTTTTATACTTACTTGTGTATGTGACTCACCTCCTCTATCAGGGAACTCTTGAAAGGCTAAACCTGAATTTACTCATCTTAGAGCCACCCATGTTTAATATTTGGAACTCTGTCTTGCACATAGCTAATATATTTGAGTGAGTTTTTGAACAATGAATGTTTTCCAGTTATATGTTGATATTTTGAGTGTTAACTAATTTTTAAATTTTTCTTTCAGACCAGAAACTAGAGAGCAGTATCCAAACAAATTTATCCAACGAGATGACACTGAAAGATTTTATATTCTGAACACATTATTCAATCTGCCAGGTAGACTCATTCTCTGCTTATATGTACTTATATACTGTCCTGTCCGTGAACATTTGTCTGTGCCAGAGAGAGGTGATGAGCTATACTTGAATTACTTCAAGTATAATTTAAGAATATTTTTTTCATTTTTCAGAGACCTACCTGTTGGCCTGCCTAGTAGATTTTTTTACTAATTGTTCTAGATATACCAGGTATGTATATACCACAGTTTCCTTTTTCCAGTTGATTTTTAAAATTAATGTGCAGGGTTTTAGAGAACTGGCCATTGTAGGTCTTTTCTGCTTTTCTGAAGTGGATTTAGTGCTAGTGAGAGCTGCCACATTGCCAGCCTGGGAGATGGACAGCAGCAGCAGCTCCATGCGGGCTCTCACCTCCCACACGCCCCTCCTTCAGTGTGCTGCAGCCATACTTGGAAGGGACCACTTCTGATTGGCTTCTCCTGGGAGTGAAGACGCCAGCAGAGGTGCTAATTGTGACAACTGAGTGGGAGGTTTGTGTGATGATTATCTGTCCAAGCAGAATTACACTAAAACCCCCCGACTCATTTCACAGCAGCAACCCCGGAGCCATTGAGGGATAATTTAGGTTCATTCCCAGTCCCAGCAAGAGTTCATTGAAGAGTAAGTCCTGTTACCTGAGATAAAATTTTGTTGAAGTCTTGAACAGTGATCCTTTCCTTAGGAGAAATCCTATAGTAATTTCTGAAAGTGTGTCCATGTGTGCCAGATTGCTAACAGTGTTAGGTTATCTACTTCAGATTTGGTGGAAAGCTGGCACTGGTGTCTTAGAGATCAGACACTTAGCTGTGCTTAGAACAAGGTCACAGAGGACAGGGTCCAAAGAACCAAAACGATCAACTTTTAAGTTTTAGATGTTTCTTCAATGAGAACCAATTTATAAAAAGTGAAAAATAAAAGAACCTTGTATTTTGAATTTTGGCTTTTTAGTTGGCATTCAGTGTACTCTAGTGTACTCTATCACTTTGTGTTCATTCATACTTACTGTATTCCATTACACACTGTGGTCGTTTCACTATGGCCAGAAATCAGTTTTCACTAGGGAGTAATTCTTTGCCTGTTAGCTCCAGCTGATAGACCCATATGATACGAAACCTTCGGGGCCCCTGGGCATCTTTTGATACTCATTTAATTCACCCTCTTGTGGAATCCCTGTCATGTCCTTTTTATCTTTCTGTAGCTGTGAAACAGGATTTAAAGATGGGGACCTGTTCATGTCCTACCGGAGCATGTTCCAGGATGTAAGAGACGCTGTGGACTGGGTCCATTACAAGGTACCCCAAGCTGCTGCCTCGCCTGGTCACTCTCTGCCATGTGTCCTTTGACCTGATGCTAACTTGCCAAGAGCAAAAGGAGCAAAAGTTTTCTTTCATTTAAAAAGAAGGGTCAAGGGCCGGGGAGATGGCTCAGTGGAATAAGCACTTCCCTGGCAAGTGCAAGGGCCTGAGTTCAATCCCCGGTCCCCCCCGCAAAAAAAAAAAAAAAATTAAAATTAAAAAGAAGGGTCAGAAGAAGGAAATGATTTTCCCCAGTGGTAGCTTTCTAGAAGTATTTGTTTTTGTCTGACCATCCTTAATGGTGAAGCTTAGGTTCTAGATTTTATTTAATTTGTGTTTTTCAAACTTATTTAGAAGGCATCTTAATTTATGAGATTATACATAGCGTTTTCTGGGTGATGGTCTTTTTCACTGAAATACGTCCCACTTGACTAATAATATTAACTAGTTAATATTAAATTTACACTTACTAAGACCCAGCTAGATAGCCGAGCGGACTAAAGCACCTGCTTACCTTGCTGGCCCCACCCCTGGGATGCGCTGAGATGACTGAGACTGGGCGTGGTGGCGCACGCCTGTAATCCCAGCCCTTGGGAGGCTGAAAACAGGAGGATCACTACGAGTCCATTCTGTGTAGGGAGACCCTGTAGACCTGGTACTAAATATATTTTAAAAAAAAAATAAAAAATTACATTTACTATAATCTATTGAATAAAATAGGAAATGCCTTTTAATTGCTAATTTAAAATAAAAACAGTTTTATATTTGAAGATGTTTTAGGAGGCTGAGTTACTGCAAATCATATCTGCCACTTTTTCCTGGCCTTTCCTAGTTTATCACTTTTCCATTTTGGTAAATATATAAATTCAAGCTGGGTATTGTGGCGCATATCTGTCATCATAGTATTCAGAAGCTGAGGCAGAAGGATCACCATAATGTCAAGGCCAGCCTCAGCTTCTTAGTTTATAGTGAACTTTACAGCTAAACTACAGAGCAAGACCTTGTCTCAGAAAACAAAAATAACACATAAAAATTCATTTGAGTTTATACTAACCACAGTTTTCCTCATAAACTAAATGGTAAAAACTAAATTTATTCTTTCCTAGTTCCTCTTTTTTCTTTTCCCCAGGGCTCCCTTAAGGAAAAGACAGTTGAAAATCTTGAGAAGTATGTAGTCAAAGATGTAAGTACTGAAAGGGGAAACAGACCTGCATCGTAGCTTATTTCACCTACTGAAATGAGTCACGGGCTTGTGAGATGGAGGAGGGAAGACGGTCCTCTTCGTAGCATGGCTTCTGCTGGGTGTAACAGCCAGGATCGTTAGCCCAAACTAGGTCTCAGTAGTTCTTCTAGTTTGTTGGTAGACTAGAAGATCAGTATTTCATGTGTCCTTTAGCTGTAGCTGCAACAGCGAGAAGGTTGCAGTGAGTGTGTCAGCACACCGTGGGGCCGGGCACTGCGGCGTCCCTTCCATCTAAAGTGAGGCAGGCAGAGCTGTTAGCTGCCCCCTGCACACAGAGAGCCTGGGCAACAGAAGAGCCGAGTATCTCACACAAGATCACACAGTAAGTTAGTAAAGCCAGACTGTGTAAGCACATGTATGTGCTTTTAAAAAAAATCTTTAACCTATCAACAGGGAATAATAAAGAAAGCTTAACAATATCTTAAAGATAAATAAATAAAAATTTTTAAAAAAAAGGGGGCTGGTGAGATGGCTCAGTGGTCTAAAGCACCTACTTGGAACAAGCTAAGCTAAGCAAAGCCCAGGGACCGCGGTTCAATCTCCCAGCACCACATGCCAGCCCGCCCGCCCCCTGGTGGGCTGAGCTGGCCACACACACAAAAATAAATAAATAAAATAAATAAATAAAAATTTAAAAAAAAACAATATCTTAAAGATAAGTAGAAAACTGGTGAAATTTTAGAAATCTGCAGTTTCAGTGGTGGGTTTTTTTGTCTTGTATTTTTTTGTGTGTGCTGAGGATTGAACTCAGGCAGGCGCGTATGCCACTTAGCTATCTTCCCAGCCTCTCGATGTTACTTCTTAAATTTTGATAATTACACTGTGACTCAGTAAGTGTTGCTATTAAGGGAAACTGAATGCAGAATGTATGGGAATTCTATTAATTTTTCTGTATTAAAAATTATTTCAAAACAAAAAGTAAACACCCAATTCCAAGATGAGATGACGAGATCCCTCTTTCTTTTTCTATAAAGTTGCAAAATACAGTATTTTCTCCAAATACTGTGGTAAAGTTTTGTTTGTAGGACTCACATAACCACTTATCACCTTTTTTTTGAAAGAAAAGGGATTGAACTCAGGCCCTTGCGCTTGTCAGGCAGGTGCTCATTCGACTGAACTGTCTCCCTGGCCCTCCTTTTACCACCTTTTCCCCTCATGATTTCAAGAAAGAACCCTGAGTAGGGAGGTTAAGGAGAATTTGTGTGAAGGAAGCTATTCATCGTGACAGAAGGAAAAGGTGTTTTTTTTCTGTCTAAGCACGGGAGGAGTTCGTTTCCTCGTCTGCAGGTGGGCCTGGGCATCTCTCGGTTTCATCCGTGTGTGTCATTTCCATTCTGCAAGACGAACTGTAGAACCCGTGTCAGCTCCGGATTTCTAACACATCCAACTCAAATTATTCGGGAAATCTCAAGATGATTTAAATTCCTGAGACAGACATTGTGAGAACAAATAAACATGTTGTTAATGGCTGTATTACTTTTTAATGAGAATCTGTATGCTCTGCACAGTGTATATTACATGCCAGTGCTTTATTCATGCATAGTGATAGTCTAGGCTTGTATATGCCGAATTCAGAAACCACCAATTTTTAAAAGGCTTACCATATTTCTCTTTTAGTGGACAAAAATCTAGTATGGGAGTATCTCAAAGCATAGATATAAAAATATTTGTACTTTACTGTTTTATTCATTGTCATATTACATTTCAGGGAAAACTGCCTTTGCTTCTGAGCCGGATGAAGGAAGTAGGCAAAGTCTTTCTTGCTACCAACAGCGACTACAAGTATACAGATGTGAGTGCTTAGTAGTCATGATCTCCAAGTATGTGTTCCAGAAGTGCACATATGGGTGAATTACTACTATTATTAAGAGAATCATTTTGGCCTCAACTACAAAGATCGTGAAATGGGTAGAAGGTCATTAAATGAAGCTAATTTCTTGCCAGAGTAGAGTGAAAAAAAGCAAAGGGATGAGGACTGTGCCAAAATCATTCTGATGTTTTGCTAAATACTTAGTGGCCATTTTCTGTGATTACAGTTGGCTACTTGCAGCTTTTCATTTTGGGGCTGTTTGAAGCATTTATGCTGGGGGAAGTAGTTTCTGTGTGTCTTTGGTGCATAATAAAGACAAACTCAAGAATTCATACTCTCCATTCTGTTTTCCTGCTGTTGGAAGTCTTGTGGCAATAAATGGGGCAGAGGTGTTTTGAGTCTTCACCATCGAAATTCACTACTGTACTGTTAAAAACTATATATATAGAGAGAGCACAAGGGCCTGAGTTCAATTCCTGGTTCCTCAAAAGAAAAGAAGAAGAAAAAACTGATTACCTAACACCTTACTTTATGTGAGATAATTACAAGTTAATAGTTACAAGTTCTGCTCTCACCCTAGTTTTCTTTATATAAAAGCCTTTGTACTGTATTTCCGTAAGTCCCTAGTTTTCTGTACACTTTGGCTTTTATGTCCCTTAACCTCCAAGTGTGTGTTCCAGAAGTGAGGTATGGGTGAATTTGTATAGAAACATCTGGAAATCTGTATCCTCCCTAAAAAATACCAAAAGCTTTCTTCTTTCTCTTTTGTATGATGAACCATTAATTTTTATATTGTATAATTTATATTATACATATAATTCAGAAACCTTAAAGGAAACAAATATGTGATGAATCCTATTGTCGAAAAAGATGTTTCTTGAAAACCTTGTATGTGATTAATGTTGTGTGTCTTTTGCAAAAGTAGCATATATGTAGAACTTACGTTTCTATTTTATCTTTTCCAGAAAATTATGACTTACCTGTTTGACTTCCCACATGGCCCCAAGGTACTTTAATAACTTGGTAGACCACTGCTTTAGTGATAGTGGACCATTTAGGGATGTTTAGGGAAAGGAGTTGGTCAGGACCTATCCAGAAAGGTCATAGGTTTTAAGTTGTTAACTCGTCTTCACTGACATTGGAAGTCATCCAGGAGCTAGAATTTCCTATCAGATTTTAGCAGTTTTATTACTTAGTAAATAAAAAGGGAGTCATACTGTATTTAGCAGAATGGGATCAGAATTTGATGCCTATGATGTTCTGTGCATAATTAATAGGTGTATATAAGAATGAAATGAATTTTTAGGTTGAGGGAGTTACTTGTTGAAAGAAGCAGAAAATAACGTGTGTATTCTGAGAGTCGCTGGAGTCTGCCAGCCTGCTGCTGAGCTTTCCGGAGTTGACAGAGAAGTCATCATTCTTAGTCATACACTTGGAGAATTTTAGTCCTCAACTTCCAGCAGCTTCAGCAAATCCATTTTGAGGTTGCCCAAAACCATAGAGTGCTCTACTAGGCAGCGTGGCCTGGAAGAGCAGCGCCTGTGGCCTCGTGGCCGGACTCCTCTGGCTGGCTGCACGGCCCTGTAAGTCTGTGGCACGTGGAATGGTCTCAGCTGTGGCAGTATTAGGCAGGTGCTATTTACACCTGCCTGCTTCCAAAAGGATTTGGCTCAGAGTTAGCCACAGCGGATTTTTTTTTTTAACTAAAATAATGAGATTTTATGGTTATACTTGGTGCTTCTAAATTCCTTTTCGAGGGCATTTGAGACTGAGATTCAGTACCAGTGTCTTACTGTATAAAGAGTGATGTTTGGGCTTTTGCTGGTTCTCCTCCACCAGCCCGGGAGCGCCCATCGGCTGTGGCAGTCCTATTTCGACCTGATCTTAGTGGACGCACGGAAGCCACTCTTCTTTGGAGAAGGCACGGTCCTGCGGCAAGTGGACACTGTAAGTGGAGGAGTGATCTGCCTGGTAGTACACTGACCTTCCGAGGTCTTAAAAAAGAAAGGTATTTTAAAATTATTGGGAAAAAAAAATTATTGGTCACATTGCTCTTTGGAAAGTTTGGGTTTTGACTGAGGTAGTCTGACAAACTACTGGCCTAAAAGAACGTGTGATATTCACGTGGCTGCCTGGCTGAGCGGCACTGTGGGTGGAGACCGTGATCAGATGGTAACACTACATTCGTATTCCTTCCCTTTCTCTTCGTGTAGAAAACTGGCAAGCTGAAGATTGGCACCTACACAGGCCCCCTGCAGTATGGCATCGTCTACTCCGGGGGTGAGTCACAGTATCCCTGGCGCAGCCTCAGGCTTTGCTCAGCCCCCCTGTGAAAATGAGGTTATTCTCAGCTTGCTGGCAAATCAGTGAAGAAAAAGTAAAATGTGCTAGTATTTTAGCTGTGTTCCCTGACGTTGAGATGTGTCATTGTGTTGCTCTTGGGTTTGGTGACCAGCACTCTGGTCAGCACAGTGGAGCTAAAGGCCTTGTGTGAGAGGCCAGAAAAAGAATGGTGAGTCTTTAAGAATGGTCTGTCCTCACAAAAGATTGCAGGTAACCCATATTGAATGGTTATGGGACTCTGAATGTTGTCGTCAGTAGAGACACTGTTGTTTTCCCCTTGTTTATCCCACTGTTGCAGGCTCATCCGATACAATCTGTGATCTGCTGGGAGCCAAGGGCAAGGACATTCTGTATATTGGAGATCACATTTTTGGAGATATTTTAAAATCAAAGAAACGGCAAGGGTGGAGAACTTTCCTGGTCATTCCTGAACTCGCGCAGGAGCTGCATGTCTGGACTGACAAGAGCTGTAAGGCATTATTTTCTTTATAAATCTTTGCTATAGCTAGTTTATGTCGAAGTGGCTGGCTGTAATTCAGTCTTCTGATAAGCTACCACATGTAATAGGGATGACGTGTTGTCCCAAGGGAGGCCCTGGAGTCTGCACATCTTCTTTTTTTTTTTTATTTGTGTGTGTGTGTGTGTGTGTGTGTGTGTGTGTGTGTGGCCAGCTCAGCCCACCAGGGGGCGGGCTGGCTGGCATGTGGTGCTGGGGATTGAACCGCGGTCGCTGTCCTTTTGCTTAGCTTAGCTTGTTCTAAGTAGGTGCTTTAGACCACTGAGCCATCTCACCAGCCCTGCACATCTTCTTATTAGAGTCTCAGATACTTTACAAAGCTCCAGAATTTGAGTACGGAAGCAGCTATCTTGTTTTACTTCTTCTTCTTCTTCTTTTTTTTTTTGGTGGAACCAGGGATTGAACTCAGGCCCTTGGCGCTTGCCAGGGAAGTGCTTATTCTACTGAGCCATCTCCCGGCCCCTTCCTTGTCTTACTTCTTGACTCCCCCGGTGGAGATTCCAGGAGGCCCTGTTGGGAGCTTCGCTTCCTCTGCCATCTGTGTTTCTTAGCCCCACTTAGCAGACCTGCCGCCTCTCCTCACAGCCCGTGTCTGATTCTGGGGCAGGGACGGCTCTGAATATTAATTACCCTGCTCTTTACTCTCCTGAGCAGCAGGAAATGAGGGCGGATTGTGTGCTGGGCCTAAGCCCCTGCGTCTGTCTGTGCAGCGCATACACTGTAGTGAGTGAGGCTGTGGATAGAGCTCTTAAAGGTCATTTACCGCATCAGTTCTCCACTCAACTCTAGTGAGTGTTACGCAGTGTGGTAAAAGTTACACTTCAGAAACTTGGCCGGCCTCAGGTGGGAGCCTCATACAATACCTGTGTGTTCCGCCAGAATTGATACCCTGTGCCCGAGTTCCTCCAGCCCGGCAGTGGTGATAATCTCTGCCTCATGGAGCTGGTGAGACTTCCCTGGGGCCGTGGAGAAACAGGTAGTAACAGAGACATAGCCCAGCCAAGTATGAAGCGTAGAAGAAAGTGATTCGAGTGACTGTTCCAGGCAAGCCCTTACTCCACTGAGCTATCGCCCTGGCCCCTGTTGCTATTACTGTTGTCTGTACTAATAGGAAAAGTTTCCAGCTAGCCTTTTGTCCATGTTTCCAGCTTTCCACCTGTGAAGTTTTAGAAATCCAACTGATCGACTGTATATACTATTTCTTGGACTTAGGACTCTGGACAAGTCACTGAATTCTGAGGCTTTTATCTATAAGTGGAACAGTCATCCTTTGCTGACTGAACTTGGGACATGGTAGGAACAGGCATGTTGCAAACTCAGAATGAGCAGCAAGAGAAGAAATCGTAGTGTTGTCTGCTGTCAGATCCACACAGGCTACCAGTGCATTTTCCTGAAGGAGGAAGAAGTTATGTATACATCTGCTTTTAGCATGTTGGTGCTGAGCCATGGTTTGGGGCCATATCTGCAACTTTTAATTTTACTTTATAATTTTAAAACTAGGTTTGTTTGTTTTGATTTATGTAAAACATTTCTCTTTCCTTTCCAAACCCTAACTAGCACTTTTTGAAGAACTTCAGAGCTTGGATATTTTCCTGGCTGAACTCTACAAGTAAGTTTCCCAATTCTAAAAATGTCTTTCCTAAAAACTGCCTCCCTCCTCAGGAGTCACACAGGTGTAAGCAGCACTGTTGGTGATGACACTGGGTCTTTCCTCTCGCCCCCAGGCACCTTGACAGCAGTAGCAATGAGCGTCCAGACATAAGTTCCATCCAGAGACGGATTAAGGTATCCAAATAGGACTTGGGAAGAAGCTCAGAAAGCCCATTATTGACATGATTTCCATATTTCTGTTTTATAGAGGGACAGGCATAGAGCTGGTACCCAGTAAATACTTACTGAAATGAACTGTGAACAATTTATATTTTTTTAGAAAGTCACACATGACATGGACATGTGCTATGGGATGATGGGGAGCCTGTTTCGCAGTGGCTCCCGGCAGACACTCTTTGCCAGTCAAGTGATGCGCTACGCTGATCTCTACGCCGCGTCCTTCATCAACCTGCTGTATTACCCATTCAGCTACCTCTTCAGAGCTGCCCATGTCCTGGTGAGCAGACTGCTTCTAATGGTGATGGTGCGCTGTAGTGCCCGGGGCCATGGACCCTGCCCGGAACTGGGAAACAGAAGCAGTGGGATTGTACATTCGAGGCCAGCCTGAGGAGTTCAGCAAGAACTGTGTCAGAAAGAGCTGGGGACGCAGCACAGTTGTAAAGTGCCCCTAGGATACTTAACACCCTGCGGTGGTAGTGGTGATGGTGACAGAACAACACCCATGAAGATGAGGGTCTGCCTTTGAGCTTGGCAAGGTGCTGCAAAGCCTACGGGCAGGCCAGGTGGTCGCCCAGGTGATCTCTGAAGAAGCATGACCAGGCAAAAGCCTGTCAGGTGTCACACTGAGCCAGGCATGATCCCAGCATTTGGGAGGCTGAGGCAGGTGGGGTGCTGGAAGTGTAAGGGCAGCTGGAGTTAACATGGCAAGACCCTGTCTTGTGCTTGCTGCGGCATCCGTTGGAAAGACCCTGTCTCAAAAAGTTACACTGAATGGAGGAGTTGGCTCTTTGTCGCTACTAAAGACATGGCTTTTTAATTCTTATTCCTTTTTTTTTTTTTTTTTTTTGGTACTGGGAAGTGAACCCACGACCTTGTGCTTGCCGGACAGGCACTTAGGCCACTGAGCGATCTTCCCAGCCCCTTTCCTATGTTCTGATGTTAATCGGCCTCTGCGCTGGCTAGACAGTCAAAGTTAGGGCCTCTCTTCTGCCTTCCGAGTTGTGCAGGTAGGAGGAAGGCAGCAGGTCTAGGAAGGCGCGCTTAGTGATCGTGTCTCTGGCCCACTGTGGACACAGTTCTGTGTGGTTGTCAAGTACCGCAGGAAGGTAGGACCTGCGAGCTTGCTTAGGGTTACTTTCCTCTGTCTTCCTCTGATCCCGCTTTGTTCTAGATGCCGCACGAGTCTACTGTGGAGCACACACATGTGGACATCAACGAGATGGAGTCACCCCTCGCCACGCGGAACCGCACCTCCGTGGATTTCAAGGACACCGACTACAAGCGGCACCAGCTGACGAGGTCCATCAGTGAGATCAAACCGCCCAACCTCTTCCCGCTGGCCCCCCAAGAGATCACACACTGCCATGACGAAGATGACGACGAGGAGGAGGAGGAGGAGGAATGAGGAAGACCCAAGCTCGGGCATCAAGGCAGCAGGCGCCTGCAGGAGCCCGGGCGGGCACGAAGGCTGTCCTTCTCGGGTTCCCCGGGAGGGTGGGGGGTTCCTTCAGAAGTACATCTGCAAAGATTTGAACTTTAAATATCGAATCATAGAGAGATACTTGCTTTAGTTTTGTGTATCTATATTTTTGGCGGAATGGTTCACAGTTGCATTGGAGTCTGTTACTGGAAGTCGGGGTTGCATCAGGGTGAGCCACACACGTTGGCTCCCTGTGACTGTGGTCCGTCGCGTCGTCTTTGCCCTGCTGCGTGTGTTGGTTACACAGAGGGTGGGATGGGATTCGGAATGCTGGATTGTTTCACCGTGTGCTGTTACTCCGAAGTCCGACTTTTTCAGTGCACTACACAGTGTTGTACACCAGTGGAGAAATACATTGTTTCCATTAGCTGTTTCCTTTCACGCGCATTCACTGTCCTCAGCAAATGAGCCCAACCAGGCGTGGCTTCAGCACCTTTCCAGCGTATTCTCTGTGCTGGGGCTGGGCCGGCTGCACTGCAAGGATTCTGTTGGGAAGCAGGCCGCCGCCTCCTTCTAGGTTGTACTAGTGTAGATGCTTGTTACCTGAAAACGGAAGACTTTTCTCATCTGGTAAATCTAAAAAAGAATACAGTTGAAAGGAGACAAAGGAGCAAGCTGTCAGAGCAGGAAGGCTGAGCCCAAGCCTTGAGTCCTGCAGCCCTGAGTGAAGGCAGCAGCGCGGCCTGTAGCTGGCTTCCTGCTGCGCAGGCCACGTTTCCCATATGCGGCATTGGCCGCTGTATGTTAAAGCTGAACATTAAAAGATAAGAAGAGGACATGCGAAGCCAGAACCTACCAAAGCAAAAGGCACGGCCGTGAGTGCAAGTGCACTGCAGAACCCCCACAGCGGAGCCACCTCCGTGCTGACGCAGAAGCCCCGTGTTGCTGCACGTGGCAGGCCCGGCCAGGGAGCGAGTGCTGCTCGGATGTTTTCAGCAATGTGGACAGTCTTACTTCACCCATTATGTGTTTTCTTACCTTCTTGCTGTCATCAATCAACAGGGAGGCTAGACGAGTCATTCTAGAATCCCATAAAGTGTGATCTTTCTGCTACTGACTTGGACCCTTCTGTAGCACAGCCCAATAACTGCTGGTCTTAGGCTTAGGCTTGGTTTTTAATAACATCAGGAGGTTTCGTTTCTTTTTCTAAAATGTATTTAGTACAGGGTCTCACTACACAGATCGGATTCATAGTGATCCTCCTGTTTTTAGCCTCCCAAATGCTGGGATTATAGGCACATGCCACAGCGCCCAGTCTCGCTGTCTCAGGGTACTCCAGGGCAGGTGGGGGATCAAACCCCCAGCCCCTGCATCTGCCTGAGCAGGTGCTTTAATCCGCTGAGCTATTTGGCTGGCTCTAGTCTTGAATTTTTTAAACTTAAATCTTTAATTATAACTGTACCTACCTTGTAATAAATAGTATAATCATATATTTTCCTTTTTAGGGCTAAGACCAGCATGATCACTTTATTTTTCGTACTTTCTATATTGGCGTTAAGAATGTATTAGGCACTGCTCTGGCAGTCCCAACCCACCACAGCACAGAGCCTGAGCAGTGAGGAGCAGCGCATGATTGGCTTAAGGGTCCCCCTGCTGGGGCCCCCCAAGGAGCATTGTTCTGAGTGGTGGAAGCGCGGGCCCAAGAGTACTGCTGGGCGTGGAGTAGCTGGGCCTGGGCTTCTCAAGTTCTGAGTTGGGAGTTTCTGTCTGCTGTCAGTGATTCAGGAAGCCAGTTGGAAAACTTTTCCTTTGGTGAAAAGCCTAAAGGATTTTGTAACATGAGATGAAAAATCTTTCATTTCTTGAGAAAAATTTTTCTATGTGAGATCTCAGATCCTGTACTAAGCAGGGTGTCGCTGGCCTCCCCCCGGGGAGAACCACCCAGTGCTGCACATCAGTCTCTGCTTGGCTGGTGCATTTCAGAAGCAGCTGTGAGGTCAAGAAAGTTTAGTGTTTTGGGTCTGCATGGTGCTGGGCCTTCCACCGTAGCGACCACTGAAGAGCAGTAGCCGTGGCCCTGCGCTAGCCCACGGCCGTGGACCTCAACAGGGCCACAAGGTGACTTAAGAATGGAGCAAACAGAGGCACAGATGCCATCGCGGATGCCTCACTAAATGAAGTTTGTGTGGAACGTGGTCCGCGAGGTGTGCGGCTTCGCCCCCCATGAGCAGGCACCATGGAGCTGCTGGATATCTCCAAGGACGAACGCACCCTCAAGTTCATCAAGAAAAGGGTGGGGACACACATCCGCACCAAGAGGAAGCGTGAGGTGCTGAGCAGCGTGCTGGCCGCCATGAGGAAGGCAGCTGCCAAAAGGACTGAGACCCTCTGGACTAGAGCTTTGCAGAAAGGGGTTGGGGGGGGAGAGAACTGAGAGTTTTCTTCTACAAGTGTAGCTGTGTTTTTAGAAGTGACTTTAGTAAAACCACAATACCTAAGAGCTACAAGCCTTTAATCATATTAGAATTTTTTTTTTTTAAACCACTTACAAAAGCCTCATGCAGTTGCATGTCAGCTGAAAAGTATTTTACCCAACCTGGGTCTGCTCTGCAAGCCTGTCATCCCAGGAGGCTGAGGCAGGAGTGTCGTCCTGGGTTCAATGCCAGCCAGTCTACATAGTTCAAGCCTGAACTACATAGCGAGACACTGTCTTACACGAAAAGTGCTTTGTCCATGTTTAGATATCTCTAAGTAGACTGGTTTAAGAACTATTTTGTCAACAACTATAGCCCTCAGTTTCCCAGGGCTGCCTGGGAGTTTTAAGTACTCAGCATCGTCCCTACAAATCGCCTGTATGGACGACTGCATATTAAGTCCGTTAGCATGAGAGCCTTGGCCACATTCCGTGGTACGGAAACTGTAGCCCCTCAGGAAGAGTGGGAAATGGTAGCCCTGACCCAGCTGTTGGCGAGCCGTTAAGCCTGAGCTGGATTCCTCTGTCGGTTCAGGGCTCATTACTTAGGTTCCTCATGACACTCTTTTTTGGTGACCAGGACTTCCAGCTTTTAAATTTTGCCCTCAAAAGGAGTATTTGCAAGCAACAAGCAACCTTTGCAGCTGCCGAGGAAGCCCGGTTCACGATGTTCTGGGAGGGTGAAGCTGCTTGGCACACCCAACTCGCAGGGGCCTGCCGCAGTGGGTGGTCGCAGCGGTAGCCAGCCAGCTCAGGGAGAATCTGCTCCCACAGAAAAGCTCTGCCTCCAGCTGTGTTCCCTCCAGCCGCATCCCACAGCCACATGGGTCGCGCAGAGGCGTGACCTTCCCAAAGTCAGCCTGTGCTGACACCACGACCTCGGTCACCAGCAGGCCTCCCCGCAAGGCGGGCAGCTCAGACCACTAGGGCCCCGGCCCAGCTCCATGTGTGCATGCGTGATGTTACGGAGACCTCCCCGGCTGCAGCTCCCTGCAGAGACGCGGCTGGAGTGGGGCACCTTTCCTAGCCGAGCAACCCCACCCGAGTCCTGAGTGGACCCTGTATTTTCCAACTTAAAATGATCACACTTGCATCCGGCCTATTCTTGATGGCTCCATTGTGCTAGTGTAAGAATGGATGAAACGATTGCTTCATGTGCTAAATTAGGCACAGACCTGTTCCCAGATGTCTGCTGTCTCTTGAGTGCTTCCCAAACAGCTGTGGGAGGCCAGAGAAACCCAGTGGGTGACCTGCCTGCTCGAGTCGGGGCAGTGGGCACGAGTGCTGTGGATCACAGCAGCCAGCCGTCTAGACCTCACGGTTCTGGGATGCCTCCAGGAGGCTCTGGCAGCGGACCTTGCAGTTGAGAAGTGTGTATTAAGTGGCCAGTCTGGAGTTCTGGGGTGTGTGTGTGTGTTTTCCTGTGAGACAGCATCTCACTTAAAGCCCACGCTGGCCTTGAACTCAAAGTGATTCTCCTTCCTCAGCCTCCCAACACTGGGACGACAGGTGTGCGCTGCCACACCTGGTGAGAGAAGGTTCTCACCAGAGCTAATCTTTGCCTTGGGGACATGGGTATTTTGGGTTTTTGTTTGTATTTTAGAGAAGGGTCTACAGGGTTTCAGGGTCTCACTACTAGATCGGACTCGTAGTGATCCGCCTGTTTCCAGCCTCCCAAGAGCTGGGTTACAGGGGTGTGCCACCACGCCCAGTCTCTTTTGCCATCTCAGTGTGCCCTGGGGGTGGGGCTGGCATGACACATTATAATTATATAATTATAATGTCACAGGTATTTTGAAGCAAGTAACTTCGCATCTGGATGCGCTGCTCATAAATCAGACTGAACAGAATCATAGCTCAGTCTGAATGCTGTGTCCAGTGTTGGCCAGCTGTCTGAACCCTTCACAGGACAAGCACACCAGCAGAACCCGGCCATTGTCTTCCTCACAGAGGGGCGTGTGTTCAGACCCGCAGTCCTCTGCAGGGGAGACGGCTTGCCACCAGAGCATTACTGAAAGAACCACCCTCTCCCTGGGACTTGTTGAAAATGGTGAATTGGGGCTGGTGAGATGGCTCAGTGGTCTAAAGCACCTGCTTAGAGCAAGCTCGGCAAAGCACGGGGACCGCGGTTCAATCCCCCAGCACCACATGCCAGCCAGCCCCGCCCCCTGGTGGGCTGAGCTGGCCACACACACACA